ATTGTTAAAATCACTCACAAAGACCGATTTCAGTCATTTTAAATTTTAGAGAGGCAATCTATTTTAACCCACTTACTTGAAATCTCCTGTCATAAAAGTTGGAAATTAATTAAGGCAAACGGCTTTGGTAATTCAAGGTCATATAAATCATTTAAAAATCCTGTATATCCATGTAGTGTGCTTTATCTAAATCGAATTGCTTATTCATTATGGTGTTTTTGACAAATAATTATGAAGGTGCTAAATGATCGATGGTACTTCTGTTTGTACAGAAACCACATTGTATATTATTTTTGAATATCGTTTGTTTCCAAGTACCAAACTCATTGATTATTGATCATGCGTTCCAAGGTTTTGCAAACACAGCCTGTTAAAGGTTGATAACTTCGTGAGTTAATAATGTCTGTTATGAGCCCCTGTTGCAGTATCTTGAGCGTGCTCAGCTGCCGTATGGAGCTTATGAATAAACAATATTTCCTTGTAATCTTTCCCATGACCTTTGCCGACGCTCGTGAAGAGCAACATCCTCCTGGGGAGTTTTGTAATGTTAATAGCTCTTTTTCCATGTGGTTCTGGGATAGAATAGGTCTTCAGCACGAAATTGCTGGCCGTAAAAGGCGACCAAATAGGGCAATCTGTTTGCCATGCATTACGCCCCAGTGTCGGTGGAGGAAGGGATTCTGGTGGTTGTGGGCACTGGTTCCAAATATAGCTCCCCTGTGCCCAATACACCTCTTCAAACCTTACTTCATGGATTGGGCCCGATTCTATCTATCGGCTGGTCCTGCCAAGCACAGTGGTATTTCTATCTGGTGTTGTACACCTATCGGGTGTTGATAGCTTTCAGTCATGGCTTAATGATTGGAAATTCAAATTTCACTTGCCTTCAGTCGTATGCCAAGACGGCACTGCCTCATTGGCCAATCATAGTTCGTTTATATTTGTTTTCTTCTGTTGTTTTTAGCATTTTATGTATGATACCCTCAGATGATGATACTTGGAAACAAACGTCAACTGGACAATTAAAGTTAAAGCAAGATATTTCAATATAAGTGGTGATACCTATGTTCCCAATCTAATGAGATGTTTCAAATGGTAAAGGTGCGGCCATCGTGTCAATACTTGTACAAACCATTTAACATGCAATAGTCTCTCAAATGTATTGACTGACTCAATACATTGGCCATTGTTTTGTTGATGGTGCCCTCCCATAACACAACTTCATTGCTAATTATATGATATTCTAAAATATATTTTCATAAATTATCGACGTTATATGACTTTTGATATCATCTTCACAGGTTAATTCTACATTTGAATATGGAGAGTTTCTTCCAAAACACAGAATAAAGGTGCTATCAGATAAAATTATAAGGTCCCTACATTGAAACATTCCATAAAAACAACACAGTGTGAGAGGTTTAAAATATTTCAAATGTCATGAATAATATTAGTCATTATTTTTCCTCTCCCAACTTTCCAAAATATAACAGTATGTCAAGTTTATTTTTAAAACAAAACCAAAACCGGTTTGTTATGGAAAAGAAATCTATCCAACTGGAATGACTAAGTGTGTTAAAGGAATGACCTAATCTCTACTATTCAGTGGTTAATTCGTACATTACAAACAATGTGTTTACATTTCGTTTTAGATCAATAAGGCAATGGTCTTTTTGTACAAATTACAAATAAAAAAATGTGTCTTGCCACAATCTACATTTGTATTGCAAATACTCTGTCCGAGTTAAATGAAGGACACCAAATTGTTACAGGAATGATATCAAAATATAACTCTAACAAGTAAACTAAAATGATAAACATTGGTTTGTACAAAACTTCAAAATATCACTTTCTCTCTAAGTTAAGTCAAACCAAAATCTTGCTCAGTACTCACATGGCATGAAAAGGAGACATTTCTTAAAATGTTATTATACTGTAATTACAGTACAGATACAAAGATGTCACTGAATTCATGTTAATGAGACCTTACAGTGACAACATTGATGTGACAATTCAACGGCTAAACATTTCTATTTAATTGGAAAATCATACTGGCTTTATCTGGAAGATACAGTTATTTACACAATAACCAATATTAATCTAATATGATACCATAATCAGTTATAATGCACTCTCCTACCCTGCCCAGCATAGTACCTCTGCCACAGGCCAGAAAAATGTGACGATTCGTCACATCTTGCAATGTCCATTCAATATAATGTACATATTTCTTAACTCTTTTATTTTTGACGAGTCTACACATCTAACTAAACATCTTAAATAGACTGGTTTAGTTTCACTGAGAAAATATCCAAAAACACTATTTCGATTTGCGTAGCGATCCTTTGTTTACATAGGTTGTACGGCTTCACGTGTTGTCATCGAAGCTGATGGAGGGCAAACGATGCAGCCAGTTTGATATCTAAATATGTACTGTCATAGACCTTACTGTCGCAGTTGTGGAAGAATATACATGTAACAATGTAAAACATCATGAAGAGAGCGCCGAAAAGCTTTCGTGAGTCCAGTCTCTTCTTATTATGAATATGCGCGTTTGATTACAAACAAGAGAAAATTCGGGTCACGTGATATGCAAATTAGCCTGTGGCAGTGATGCTATGTTAAGTCATCGCTGTGCCGGAGTGTGAATTAAAATGTTCACTCAGCTCATGTAAGTTTACAGTGTCCTTCCAGTAAAAACATTGTTGTAACACTTGCATTGATATAGCCTTCTTATAAAATCAAAAATAATTTTACCTGTAAAGTATTTCCCTTCAAAATACCTAACAGGCTACTAAAATATCACTGTCACTAAAATACATTCACAAACAGATTGTATTGAACATTTTTGTCTTTCCTTTAACAACATAGTTCCTTCCCGTAACGAATTTCATGTGAATGTTTTGTAACAAATATACATGATGTTGTGAACATTACACTGTATAAATACCAATCTTAAAATGTTCATATCACTTGGACATGTGGTGGCGCGTGGTCCTGCGCTCAAAGCTCAGGTCACAAATCGGTGAAGTTAAGCAGCGTCGAGCTCGAAGAGTCTTTGGATGGGTGACCGTGTTTGGCAACTTGACTCCTGAGCGTTTCTAGGACTTGAGCCCTGCCCCACAACGAAGCACATGTGACACACGTGGTCTCACCTTAGGCAAGTGAGTTTGTTCAAAATTGTCTCTGTTCACCCAGCAGGAAAAATGGTATCCGGTGGAAAAAAGTCATATGACTATAACCTTCTAGCGCCTAACAGGCAGCTTGGGTTATCCGGGGTAATAATGTGCTGTGCCTTGATTGTTAGCGCTATGAGCATACCTAGTGTGTAGTTTGGCGCTATATAAATGGACACATTATTTGTATTACATGCATAAAGCACAAATTCATTGTAATCAAGCAACAAATGTGACGTGCATCAGAGATATTATCAGCACAGTAACAAACATGGTCTTTCCAATCACACTATTTCTGTTATAGGACTGAATGTTATTGGAAATACACATTTCACACTTAAAATCAAAATTAAAATAATGGGAGCTCCCTAACACTGTTTGGCACTCGGTTCAATTTTCGTGCATTTGACAGATTACATGTTATTTAAGCATTTTCTACGTCAACCATTCCGTAAAACCCTTACATGACAAACTGGAAGGAACTGAGAAAAAAATACTCTCCAAGTTACACATCTTCTATGCCAAATTTCTTTTTTAAAAAGCTGCGTTGCACCGCTCATGGCAGCCTTACTTGTAGCACCGCTCATGGCAGCCTTACTTGTAGCACCGCTCATGGCAGCCTTACTTGTAGCACCGCTCATGGCAGCCTTACTTGTTGCACCGCTCATGGCAGCCTGACTTGTAGCACCGCTCATGGCAACCTTACTTGTTGCATCGCTCATGGCAGCCTTACTTGTTGCACCGCTCATGGCAGCCTTACTTGTAGCACCGCTCATGGCAGCCTTACTTGTTGCACCGCTCATGGCAGCCTTACTTGTTGCACCGCTCATGGCAGCCTTACTTGTTGCACCGCTCATGGCAGCCTTACTTGTTTAAAGTGAAAGTAGCAACTGCGTATGGCAGAGGTTGCCGCATGAACACGACAAGATAAGGAAGAGTTCAGTGACATTTTTTGTACTTGTTACAGTACAGGCAATTTCTCAAGGGACGTGCATAAACTAAGGTAATGCAAAAATATGTACATCGGCATTTTTACGACAACTATGTTATACAACCCTTCTAAATGATATTAACATGTTCAAAAATAACGGGAATTTATTTTGACACAAATATTTTCAATCAAAGATGCATTTCAGTTCAGTCGGCTACACGAGAACCATAAAATACAAATAACTTAATTCATAGCGAAACATTAATCATTTGCTATTGTATGAATGGTAATTATGAACGACAGTGTAAAACAAACAAATATTATCTTCATTTCTTAAGAAGCAATTAAATAGGGAAATGTCGGGACAAACATAGCTGCAAATTTTGTGAATGACTGGGATGACCACGACCAGGGGCCATGTGGGTAAAAAAACAAAAGAGTCAATTTCATCACGGACACTGTGTAGTATATATCTAAAGACTCAGGGTGATTCACAACTGGGGACTAAATTCAAAGGGTCCACAATTTTCTTCCAAAACTCCTTTTATCTCTGAGAGATAATATTATTAGAGTGATGTAAATTCTTCCGAACAAAAACAAAAGCGCGAGCGTACTGCAGAAGCAATTGCGCATGCGCACATCTCATGGCATTCCGAAAGTTTAGAATAGGGAGGTGGAATATGTAATACTATTAAATTGTCTTGTTTCAGGACCCGTGAAGATCCGGGGTAGAATAGGTCTTCAGCAACCCATAAAAAGGCGACTATCTTGTCGTAAGAGGCGACTAACGGGATCGGGTGGTCGGTTTCGCTGACTTGGTTGACACATGTCATCGGTTCCCAATTGCGCAGATCGATGCTCATGCTGTTGATCACTGGATTGTCTGGTCCAGACTCGATTATTTACAGACCGCCGCCATATAGCTGGAATATTGCTGAGTGCGGCGTAAAACTAAACTCACCCACTCACTCACTCTTGTTTCAGTGTGTGAGTAAGTATTGCAGCCGAAGATTAATGAATGCTTCCACTATCTTCCTCACGAATGTCAGGATGAAATTGTCATCCACGGTAATATATACACAACACTAAGAGTTTTGCTTGTTTTTCTACACAGCAGTAGGTGTATTGTTTGCATCCCTGAAGGGTGATATCACCACGATCACCTTACACGGCTGGTCCTCTGGTAATGAGCAGATCTACAATCACCGTATTGCCAGTTTGTTTCGCATAGTCAAGAGCAGTCTTTCCCTCTTGGTCTTCTATGCTTGAAACGTCAAATGTATCTACAATGTACTTTACAGCTTTACATTTTTTACATTGAGCCACATAGTGAAGAGCCGTCCTTCCCTCTCTGTCTTGAGCAGATGGATCAGCACCTAAGAGTAAGAGTGTCTCTACATTATCAGTACACCAATCTTCAGTCGCAGGTGCTGCACAATGAAGTGCCATCCTGCCTTGCTCATCTAGTTCATTAGGGTTGGCGCCTCTCTGTAACAACAGCCTAATACTGGCTGAACATCCTCTTTGTGCTGCATAGTGGAGAGCCGTCTTGCTGCAGTAACTATGTAAATTCACATCAGAGCCGTGGTCCATGAGAAGTTTAGCAATAACACAGTCTCTTCGTGTCACTGCATACTGGAGAGGTGACATCCCTTGCTCATCTTGGGCACATTGATCAGCTCCTTGATTCAGGAGTAATGATACGGTTTTCACGTTTCCATGTTCTGCTGCATCATGAAGAGCTGTTTTGCCATGTACGTCCTTTATTGACAAATTAGCAACTGTGTCCAGCAGGATCTTCACAGACTCGCTATTGGGACATGGTGAGGCATAATGCAGAGCTGTTTTGCCTTGTATATCTTGCTTACATGGGTCAGCACCTTTGCTCAACGCTATAGCAATACATTCACTTTGTTTCTCTGCTAAATAGTGAAGAACAGTCTTTCCACCTTGATCTCGTATGCCAGGGTTGCTACCTTTCTCTAAGAGAAGCATGACTAACATTCCCTGCAGCATAATGTAATGATGCTTTCCCTCTTGATCTGTTAAATTTGGATCTGCTAATTCCTTCAAAAAGAAGTTGAACTCTTTCAAAGTCAGTAGATGCAGATGCATAAGGCAGCGCTGTCTTTCCTTCATGATCTTGCAAATTGATATCAATCCCTGCCTTAACTAATAATGCTACGCTGTCAGCATTTCTACTTTCAGCTGCATATTGGCGAGGTGTTTGGCAAGATGTGTCTCCTGAGAATGCAGTGAGGCCTCTCTCCAGGAAAAGCTTAAGGTTCTCACTGCTTATACTTTCAGCTGCATAATGCAGTAGTTTCCTGCGTGCCAAAAAGAAGTTTGAGACATTCCCCGTCGTTGTGCCATGATGCACGATGAAGTGGAGTTACGCCTCATTGGTCGCTTAAACAAGGATCAGCTCCTCTCCCCAGAAGTAACTTAACACCAGCATAATTGTGACTCTCAACCGCATTTAGCAATGTACTTTTTCTAAGCCCATCTTGAATACAAGGATCAGCCCCGCATCTAGCAGGAGTTTCAGAATATCAGTGTTGAATTCAGATGCATAGTGAAGGGCAGTTCTGCCGCTTACATCTTGAACTTGCAGATCAATGGGTGTGTCCAGCAATAACTTCACAATGTCAGTCCTTCCTCTTTCAGTTGCACAGTGTAGAGCTGTTTTACCCATAGCATCCTGAAGACAAGGATCACTTCCTGCATTAAGTAGCAATTTAACATTATCACAACATCGTCCTTCAACAGTGTAGTGTAAAGCAGTCTTCCGTCCTTGTCTTTAATATTTGGATCAACACCTGCTTGCAACAAAGTGTTCAATAGTCCAGTCTGTTTCTCTGCTGCATAATGCAAAACCGTTTTGCCATTTGCTTCTTGAACATTCGGGTCGACACCTTTACCCAACAGAAACCTGGTTATGTTATCTAAAGTGCGTGCATGAAGCGTGACCCCAAATGTATTTTGAAATAGAAAAAACAATAGGTTATATTTATGTCCATCTTTGTCTGTCTGATTCACAGTCAGTCCTCGTTCCAGCAAAAAAGACAGAGGCTCATCGTCTCCAGTCTCCATACAAGACAGTACTGCTGCAAATGCAGCTGTTCTTCCCCGACTGTCCTCAATTTGTAAAAGGTCCTTTCTGATATCCAGAAGATATCTGAGTTTGTCAATAGTGTCAGTCGGCGATCTTGCTGCCTTGTGAAGCACTGTCTCACCGGTGACATCTGTCATGTCAAGGGAAGCACCCGACTCGTGCAGACATTTCACCACGTCAATATCGGCATTCCTACATGCTGCAAGAATGGCACGTTTGCAGACTTGATGTGCATCATTGTTTGCAGGAAAATTTGATACAATGTCATCAACATCAACATTGACATCAGCGCCATTCTTTAGCAGAAACTTAACCATTGCTAGGTCACCACATTCAGCTGCCTTGTAAAGGATGGTCTTGTTGTCTATATCTACACCTTCGATGTCACTACCTGCCTGTACTAACGCTCGCACTATGTCTATGTGTGGACGGCACAGATGCTCCACCCATAGCATTGGAATGCATCCCCGGAAGTTGGAAGTATTTACAGGTGCATGCTTTCCGATAAGCAACTTCACACACTCTAACTGATTATACCACACAGCCAGATGTAGTGGTGTATTGCCTTCCCATCTTGGACATTTACTGGAACTCCTCTGTTCAGCAGAACATTGGCACATCCAACATTACCATGCTTAACGGCAATGAAAAGTAGGGATGTACTAATGTTAAGTATCTCTTGGTGACTGTCTCCCACCAGCTCCAACAACTCAAGCAGACATGCACCTACACCATAAGCAGCTGCTTGCTGTAGAGCAGTGGGATAGTACTCCACACGACTATATGGGTCAACCTTTTGGGCACGTATGTTGATCACGTTCACCCACGAGCCGTAAGGATTTTGAGAGCTGCAGTGGATAAATGAGTCGCTGCTAACAATGTCATGTGCCCAACGTCAACATTGCACCCAGTATTCAGGAGTGTGGTGATTATGTCGCTTATGTGCTCCGTGTTGTATGGCCGATAGGCGGACGATCTATAACCAACACTCAGTTCTTTGAATAATTGCACTAAACAGTGTTTGAACTCTGTCTGACGTCTGCCCTGGTCCTTCAAATGTTTAACAACGAAATCCACAATAAATGCATTTCCATATAGAACAGCCAGTTTAAAAATTGTCTACATTGGATATTGAGTCCCATGTGAACTTATCCTCAAACTGTGATTCGTCTTTTCTTGGCATCAGGACAAAGCTACACACTGTATAAGAAATGTCTTCCTCCATGTCCCTTGACATGCAGAGAGCTCTGAAACAAGCTGCATTTGGCCTCAGGCCAAAATCAAAGAGAGACCTGACGAGGACACTGTTGTCCACAAAGATTGCACAAGGTAAACACTCCTGCAAAATATCTCTTTCAAAATGGTCAAGCCCCAATGCAAATATATTTTCTGTTAAAACTTTCAACTGTTTAAGTACAAAGTAAGTAAGAAGATATTCCACCGTAAATACTTCATTTTGTTCGATTCCATGGTTCCAGGCATCACAACAAATCTGTACCTTATTGTTTAATTTCTGTTTGAAAATGCTGATACTTTTGGTCTCTTTTACCACTTATGGATCAAATGCTGAATGAAAACTTCATCTTTAAGAGAAGGGTGGTCGACGATCTGTCTTGATACTCCAGGTGTTAGTAGTATATCTGTAATTCGATCAGCTAGCATTCCATAGTTTTCTTCCTTTAGATGTATCGCAAAATCATTATCGCATTCATTTTGTTTTGTTTTGACAAGTTCGACAAGCATTGACACAGAGCACGTTCTGATACAAATGTCTGGATAATTCTTAGACAGACTGATGAAAACAGAATCAAAGATGGATTGATGTTGAAACACAAATCCGTTTTCACTGTGTTCCAAATATATACCACAGAAGGATTCAGCTTTGTGTCTGATGTTGGCCAAACTGTGATAAGAAGGTAAACCGGAACAGATCTCCTTCACAATCTGCAGGATTCTTGGAATTCCTCTGTACCCCTGCCGTGTGAGAGATCCTGTGTTTGTAGACATCCTCCTCTCAGCAGCACCAGCAACAGAACACAGTAACCAAGCCCATCACTCTCCTGTAACCTGTCTACCTCCTCCAAGATGTAATCATGTGGCTTCAGGAAGAACTCAACTCCTTTACTCTGTGCCTGCTTGCTCCCAGCAAAATATTTACAACACTGAGGAAAGCCAATATTTGACCCTGAACGAGCCACCAGTTCCATTTCTTTCTCCGTGAAGTTGGTTTTGTTTTGACACATGATCTTCAGCATCCTCATTTTTTCATTTGGTCGAAGAGAATACTGTCCGTCATCAATTGTCACATGAGTGATATTCGTCATTAAGCGATTACTCTGCAGTTGTCTCTCACACTGAGCACTGATTTCCGATCTCGATGTTAGGATCAGGTAAACATGACCAGCTTCTACAGAGGGCCATATTACATTGAATAATCTTGACCATTCGTCTGCAGTCGATTCGACAAAGTTGCTCGAACCAAAAATGTTGTCGACCATTATAATATATTGGCATTTACGCTGTCCCCTTCTTTGTGGTATTAGCTTCCATTCTTTGGCTGATGTAAGTATCAGTGGAGTTCGTCCTTCCTCCTTGGCTACCTCTGACAGGAGTCTCAGTCCCAGTCTCGACTTACCAGAACCGGATCTCCCTTTGATGAAGATGATGCCATGTTGTTTTAACAGTCTTAGTGATGACCTTTCAAAGTAAGTGGACATGTATTCTGTATGGTCATGATCTATTAACGCTTTGGTCGATTCTGGAATGTAACAAAGATGGCGTTACAATACTGAAGTAATGACAATAACAATACATTCGGCTGTAAATATGTCTTCAACTATGACCATGTAAATATAACTACCTTCTTTCTCCCTTTCTCGGATGAATCGCTACACACAGCAGTTGGCACAAGGCACGTATTCAAGTAGGTGAAATTCAAAGAAATGAGTCCGTTATTTAGATATTGTCTGCATTCATCAGTAATATACTCATCACTATTGAGACACTTCTACTACGCAGTATGCGTGCATGCACGCGCTGCGCATGCTCGCACACACACACACACACACACACACACACACACACACACACACACACACACACACGTGAATTCATGACATAACTTGTGAACTGCAGTGCTCAGTGCACAAAGGAAAACATGTACAAATCTTGTCGCCTTACCGCGAATGTTGATGAAACGTCTGTCTGAAAAACAAGAACATGCTTATATTCACGTTCATATATTCCCATGATATATGTTGGGAAATGTAGCTCGCCCGCGACATCAATTGTCTGTTAATCATTTGATATACCACAGATCCTCTTTGACAATATCAAATGCTATGGTATTTCATGTCAGGGAACTTATATAATGACTCAGACAACGGTTCTCATTGGTCAATTTCCACGTGTGCGATTATTGAGGAAAATCTGAAAATTGTGTTTTCCCGCCTATTGCCGAAATTGACTGATGAGAGCCGTTTCCTGATCCCGAGTCATTCAGAGATTTTACGGAAACTGTCGATATTTACCGAAGATAGGACAGACGTTTGTTCAAAGCAGAGGGTGAGGTGAGAGGTGAAATTGGCTTTTACGTCGTGCTTGAGAATATTTTGCTCATATGACGACGTGCATGCGTGTATGTGTATGTGCGTCTGCTTGTACTAGCCCAGACTGAAGCTGGTTTTATAGTGCTAGCCCACTGAGATACCATGCCGCAGTGAAGCATGAATACCCACTCAGACACATTATACTGACTCTCAGACACCTTATACCCATTAATGCCGAGCCGACAAGTCCTTGATGTAACGTCCATTAATGCCTCCCGCTCCGGGCGGACGCTCTAATCACTACACCACGGAGGCGGTCTCAAAGCAGAGGGTAGTGCTATTGCGAGGGTCAGTGATCAAATATAAAATGCAGTTAGACAAATTGAATACGATGAACAGAAAGATAAAAGAATTACCTACAAGCTCAACACAATGTTTGTTGCGAAACACGTAAGGTTTAATTGAACTGCACATTAAAATAGTCGGGTTCCTAGGTTTTCGGTTAGGTTTTTAGCACCGTGAGTGTCACCTCTTGTGCATTTTATGTGTACGATGAGTGTAGCGTAGAATTTTCTTTATTTCTTCACTAATTTCGTTCAAATTTGAAACATATGTTAATCATAACATAAAACAATATATGATTGTAAATGTCCAGATTTATATTTTAGAAAAATATTGTCTGCAACGAACAGTGATCGAACCCCTGTGTCTTGCATAAAGAGAAGCGCTTAAAATATTTCAACACCTCCCACCTTGTGTATTCCGATTTTCTTAAACGAACAAATAAAACCTATGATCTGAAATGCATCATACGTAATCATGACAAAACTAGGTTTGTTCAATTTATCAAATTCTTAATATAATACAAACATAACCTGTTTCAGGTGAAACAATGTACTTGATTTTAAACAGTCTCTCACCAGCAGCACCCTGAGTAGTCATCGTCACGCTGCCTTTCTTCTCTTGAATAGGGGAATGTTACTTTCCACTGAATATAAAATGTATACTATATCATTTAAGGTCAGTAGTGACTCGTTGACTTCATAATGCTCTTACTGTGCGAGGGTTCGACATTGTCATGAATCGATTGATACTTTTTATTTAAAAATGTGTCAGACAGAACCTGGCATCTATAAAGCACCCTACATTGTCACGGTTAAAATTCATAACAGGTTATGGGATTCGAACCAGGTCGTCGTAGGCATATGGTGCTATATGACTTATCAAGTGCGTATGTTACAAAGTTCAGTCTCATTTCTTTCTGTGACAGATTAAAGACAACATTGGTGAAATAAACAAAAAAATATCATTTCTGAACAATCAACAGATATTAATACAATTTAACACAAATTGAGATGTTGACCACTTGGAAGTTCGGGGTTAGAATTTGTCTTCAGCAACCCATGCTCTATGGCATTGCTGATGCCTGACGTCATAACCCAAATGCGTAGACCGATGATCATGACATCAATCACTGGGTTGTCTGGTCCAGACTTGATTGCCGCATAGCTGGAAAAATGCTGAGTGCGGCGTTAATTCAAACCAGACAAACAAATGTGGGTATTTGACCGTGGCACCACTTGCCAGTCGTCACCACTCATCGCCATGTGTGCATTTATAGGACACTCACAACTCGATTCGTTAAGTGTGACATGCACATACCACATGCATGTCCAGCTCGTTCTTTGCACGCAGCACCCAATGACAGCCTAATACTGGCTGTACATCTTCTTTGCGCCGAATAAGTGTGAGCCGTCTTGCGCAAAGCAAACAGTGTATTCATATCAGAGACGTGGCCCGAGATGCGTTTAGCAGTTACACAGTTTAATTTCCTGCACCTATATATATCTCATTTCATAAAATCAGGCCATAACTATACACATGATCACATCCATACCAATAACTAATATGACGCGCACATGTGCAACGTACCTGTATCAGAGTTACCTCCCTTTGCACCACAATTCACAGTTCAAAGTACACGAGCACCATGTCGCTCAGTTGTGTCGACCGAGTCAGACCAAATAGGATGGTTCAGCCCTGTTGTTGAAATAACAGATTAACGCACAAAATTATTCGTAACGTATTTCATGCTAATCGGAATATATCATTTACCATATATGTTCAATCAAAGAAACATAGGATATATATTACACGACAGTATATATATACAGTTTTAACTCATCATCACTGTTTGAAATGTGTTACAGAAAAATTCTGCTCTTAAAAGTAAATATGTGACTTATATTCATGGAACAACATTTCAACAACGAATCTTTTGTTATGCAACATATTACTTCCGGGTTGACGAAAATACGTCTGAAACACGCATCCACGCCTTCTGTGAAACAAATACAGAAAAATAGAAAATAGTACAACGTGTCTGCAACCCTACGACAGACACAAAACATCCCGTTTCGTGGTCTTCGAAGTTGATTATGTTTACCTGACTTGGATATGCTACCTAGCAACGGTCACAGCGCATGTTACAGTCTGGACCTTCGGCTCTCACCACACAATCCTGAAACTGTCATCTGGGATCCTACCATAAAATTAGCTGGTTTACGGCGACTGGTTGGCACGGCGTGGGATACATCCAGTGATGTGAGCAAGGAGCCTCTGTTGTGTGAAACATATCACCACCTGAGATGCGTGCGTTCCTTTGAAAATGGAATCTCCAAACCCGTTTCGGTAGAATTACCTCCCCTGACACGTTTTATGATTTTATGGACCCTTCCGTCACTAAGAGTGCTTATATTCTGTATTCATACATATTTTGAACTTTGATGTGTTGAACAGCTGCTTGAAGCAAAAGCCTTGGATCTCTGCGTTCCTAATTACTTAACCTCTGTGGACGTTACGACTGTCTCGAAGTGAGGGAGTGAGTGTGTGAGTGAGTATGTTTTTACGCCGCTGTTAGCAATGTTCCAGCAATATCACGGCGGGGAACCCTAGAAATGGGCTTCACACATTGTACCCATGTGGGGAATCGAACCCGGGTCTTCGGCGTGACGTCAGTGTCTCAAAGTTATTTTCCAATCGCAATTATGTGTAAATTTCCAACGAAATTTATTCTCTTAAGACGACTTTTGTACGATTCACAGGTCATCACAATTCAACAAACAAGGTCTAACAAGGTGGACTTCTCCACCACTTATGCCCAACTGCCGGGCTCGTTGTCCCGTCTTTTGCAATACTATCTTGTTGAATGTATTTCTACCTTCGCTGCCATTAAGAAGGTCGTCCCCTAGAATCTCACCTGACCAAACATCTGTCGAGTCTCACTTGTCTGTCATCGACGGTTGAAAACAGACAATGCATGTTACTCAGAGGAGTGGCAGCCCCTGCATATGTACACTTCTGTGACTCGTGAAGATCCGGGTCAGAATTGGTCTTCAGCAACCCATGCTTCTTGGTACTGTCTGCTGAGTAGAACTGGCGTTCCGAAACGTGTATTCGCTGGTTCGAATCCTGGCTCACGCTTCCTGTAGTCATCACGTTCTCACATTCTTCTGATATGTTTGATACAACTACTCTTTAAATGAGGAAAGGTAAATTAGTCAGGTATGAGGTACGTCACCTTGTATTTCATACCCATGAAGATCCGAGTTAGAATTGATCTTCAGTAACCCATGCTTATCTTTAAAGGTCACTAACGGGATCGGGTGGTCAGACTCGCTGACTTGGTTGACACGTGTCATCGTATCCCATTTGCGTAGATCGATGCTCATGCTGTTGATCACTGGATTGTCTGGTGCAGAATCATATGTTTACAAACTGCCTCCATATAGCTGGAATATTGCTGAGTGCGGCGTTAAGCAACAAACCAACCAACCTTGTATTTCACCAAACATGAGAACGGTATGACACTGTATGGCGACACCTAGCAACGTCTTTGGAGCTCTAGAAGTGCCAGCGAGTAGCCATTGACAAGTTGGCACAACCGCTTGTTTTTTCAGTCCTATTATTTTTTCAGGTATTACAGTACATATAATTGTGCTAAAGGTGAGTGGGTCAATCAGCTGGAAAGACGGACCAACTTATCTCCCTTGACACATTGATGGGCTCCTGTCTCATGGGTCCATAACGACCTTTAGTGCAATAACGGTTTAACACGAGAAAAACATTGACTACTTTATTCATTAAATGATATTCTGGTTTATTAATGAGCTCAGTATTTTAAGGACATTTATGTGAAAAGGGGCAATGTTACCTTGAGATTTACAAACGTTTCAAGACATTGCTACTAATTGCTTTTGATGAAAGTGGTGTTTTAACAATTAAAACAAAAATGTTTTTTAAAGTACAAGATGGACAATTCAAAAAGAAAGGGACATAGCTGCGGAAACTGCGACAAGTAGCTTCATGTTGGTTCAGATGCATTGAAATAGAGACAGTCTGTAGGGGCCACCACAGATCTGGTTGATGTTGCCCTCACATGGGGTGGTGCACTCCCTTTCGTTCATGACAGTATACCTCGCATTGTCGTAGGAGTTTCCACACAAGCATTCGTCATAATGCTGAAAGAGTGAGTGAGCTAGGTTTACGCCCCTTTCAGCAATATTCAAGCAATATCACGGCGGGGGACAGCAGAAATGGGCTTCACTCATTGTACTCGAACCCGGATCTTCGGCGTGACCAGCGAACGCTTTAACCACTGGGCTACCCCGCCGCCCCAATGCTGACAGAATATGTTGTTGTCACTATGGTGTGGCTTGGTGCATAAAACTAAATAGTCAGTTGGCGTGGAGACTTTCAGTCCCCGTCGTCATTTACATCATCAATACGTCATTGTATCTGATACACAACGTTCCTCCACACGTACATACACATTAGGCTTTGCAGAACAGCACTGACACGTGTCAGTAATTAGCAAGTAAACAAAATCAGACCGTTCGTAACTCAAGGTGAGACCATCTCCCTGCATGAACTTTGTGAAGCACGAACATTATATATTGAAGCCATGTTTGATACATGAGACGTACTGACGTTTGTGTGGTACGAATATTGTGCTCTGAGGGGAATAACCACTCGTAAGTTTCTCTTTTGCCGGATGTAAATTGTGTCTCGTGATGCTAAATAAAGATAGCGACTTCACTGCATAGCTGATGTCCCTCTGGACTGACATGTGTTGTGTCTTCTACAGTTAGTTATACAACTGGTGAGTGCAATGCAAACCTGATTTACTTCTCGCTTGAGCTGGGTTGTGACTTGTTTTGTTAGTGGTTAAAGACTGCAATCCCAAACAGATTTCCCTCTCGTTTGAACTGAGACGTGTCTTCGCTAAAGAAACGACTATACTGGAAAGCGGCTGCGTGTTTATACGGGGGATTGGGCGAGGTGAACCCATGAAGAATTGCTGATACAATTACCAGGTTAAATACAAGAGGAGAGTTACGTTAATTGTCAGGGCACATGAAGTAGAATTTACTTGCCTCTAGTCCAGCAAGAAGATAGTTGCCCTGTCTGCAGCGAGTCAGGCACCATTCGTGCGTCATGGAGTTGTTCCTGTCATGTACATCGTTGATCAACCTGCCACTGTCATCCTTGTAGCATCCCATATAAACATAACCTGAAAACAGATCACGGTTGATTTCATGTAGTTCTTACTTTTTCTATACTGAAACATAGATGAACTATTCTTTCCATATTTTTCCCCGCACACATTCACCAGTATTTCCGCTATATGACAGCAGCTGGTAACCAATCGCATCTCAACAATCAGTCCAGTGACTGACATCATGAGCACCTATCTGTTCGATAGCAATGACATCACATAATTCCTATTAAGAACTTTACAAAGAAAGTGCGTGTACTAGGGACTAGAGTGTTCACAAAGAATGCATGACCATATATTTTAAGGTGGTATGATTTAGCAAATGTGACTCCATCGGTTGTTGCGGGTGAAATCTGACGCAGATCATCACGGGATACGCATGTCGGAGACTTACATGAGACAGGGATTGACGCAGATCATCACGGGATACGCATGTCAGAGACTTACATGAGACAGGGATTGACGCAGATCCTCACGGGATACACATGTCAAAGACTTACATGAGACAGGGATTGACGCAGATCATCACGGGATACGCATGTCAGAGACTTACATGAGACAGGGATTGACGCAGATCATCACGGGATACGCATGTCAGAGACTTACATGAGACAGGGATTGACGCAGATCATCACGGGATACGCATGTCGGAGACTTACGTGAGACAGGGATTGACGCAGATCCTCACGAGATACGCATGTCAGAGACTTACATGAAACAGGGATTGACGCAGATCCTCACGAGATACGCATGTCAGAGTCTGACATGAGACAGGGATTGACACGTCTCAAAGACTTTTAATAATCAGTAATATATACTGAGCTGCATTGAATCTCCACAAGGTTAAAACTGTCCGTTGATGACCGTTCTGTTGGTGCCAAACATCCGAAAACAATAACATATGACGATTGGATGCGAAAATTGTTTGATCTTAGGGTGTGTAACAAACTCCATGAAAAGTGTTTCGTGACTTATCGTGTTGTTTTATAAACTTCCGTCGTAAGATACGTTTTCATAAACATGCTGAAAGTGACAAAACACTATTAAGATATGATGTTTACACTATGAGGGACTATTGAGGCATGACAAGCACAGTGATTGGACTTGCTAAGCGAGAGAAAGACATGATGGCTTTCGTGGGTAAATTTTGCAAAACAGCGGTTATGATCTATTCACTATGTGTTGCGGAGAGAAATATCACGCTCACACGACGTATCTGGTGTAGTTACTGATGCAGATGAGGTAGAAACATCTACAGTTGTAGTCATTGCAGATGTGGTAGTCATCACTGTTGTAGCTGCAGATGAGGTAGAAACATCTACAGTTGTAGTCATTGCAGTTGTGGTAGTCATCGCTGTTGTAGCTGCAGACGAGGTAGAAACATCTACAGTAGTAGTCATTGCCGTTGTGGTAGTGGTGACCCCCTGGGCTGTGGTCACAGAAGTAACAGTTAAACCAGAAGATGCCATACAGACAATTGAATCTGCTAATGATTAATTATAACATTTATTGATTAGTTATAATGAGTATATGGGTACAGAGCTGGTGCTATTATTATGATCGGGATTGTTGGACTGTTTCCTGACCGATTCCATGGAAGGTGATAACTATTTTCCAAGATGCCCTTTACAATCAAGGTAAAGACAACATGTCATTTAATGTACTTTTTTCGCAAATGCTAGGCACTTACTTACAAGGTGTTGGGCAGTCTAATTAAATTCAGAGCTTAATCTACATTTTACAATGCAATTTTTATGTCAAATCATCTGTTTCACCTTTGGAGCCAGCATCAAAGCAAATACTGGTATCATTATTATGTGTACAGACTAGAAAGAAGAATGAACTATTTTCATCATCATTGAAATCATTATTTCACATTTAAATAGCCAATACCCTGTATAATCAGTCTGCTTAAGATTTTCAGCAGCTCAGAGGCCTTGCCCCTTTACACGCAGTCCAGACAGCGAACAAGACTTCTCCCAGGAGGTGCTGCCGCCCTTAGTCTGTCTCACAGTCCCTGAACAACATTATTTTCCCTACTGCCAAAGCAAGTCTAGATTTCCTCAGGTTCAGGATCTTTGAATCTCTGGTCTCCCTGGTGCTCCTTTTCAATTTA